TGAGTGGCTATCACACATTTTCAAAGCCCATGGGTGAGTGTAATGGTTGTGCACACAGACACATATGCAGGAATAAACAGGTATAAAGGTATTTTAATTTGAAAGACAGACAGATGGAGAAAGACCGCAGACAGGAATCGTCTATCTTGGGTCCCCAAGTGCCCACAGCTGGACCAGGCTGAAATCAGGAGTTTTGGTCTAGGACCCCCATGTGAGGGCAGTGACTCCAATGCCTGGGGCATCCCGTGTTGCTGCCAGGCAGCACATTGGCAGGAAGCTGGACTCTGAAACACGGAGAGGCTCCAAACCACCAGGACCCCTGAAACAGATGCAGTGTCTGCACAGCATCCTAACTACCTCACCAACAGCGGCACGATCCCTGGGCAGCTTGACTGAGCAGTCAGCCCTGCTGCTTCTCTGCAGAGACACAAAACCAAGTATCCAAGGGAATGTCAAAAACTGCACGAAAAAATTGATTTTTAAAAAATTATTTGATCCCCAAAATGAATTCTTTGCACTGCTTTTTCATAATATGCACTTTCCATGAACTGTTGAGGTTCACCCATGTATCTCGCATGCACGCGTACAGATCTGTATGTGTCTGCATAGGGCTCACAGTTATGTGTCAAGCTGACGCATCAGACTAACCGCCACAGTGGGCGTGTCACTGTTCTCACCTTGGTCTAGCCTGGGGAGCAGGTCTAGCAGCAGGACAAGGCCGCTGCCAAAGCCTGCACTGACCAGAGCCAGGTGGACAGCCTGCACATCACCATTGCCACCTGCAGAAGCCAGGCACCACCGGGCTGGGGACAGACCCCACTCCAGCCTGCAGCTTGCGGCTGTGGCTGTCACTGCTACAGGCCCGTTACCAGGACTGGTGTTGCAGCACGAGGGGTTCAGCCACTGCTTGCAACGCTGATGCTCCATGTGCAGCACGAGCCCCAGGGGCTTTGTTTCCTATCTGGCTTCCTGCCAATGTGCCTGGGGAGGCAGACGGGACAGCAAACGCATTTGGGCATCTGCCACCCAACAAGTCCCTCTTGCTGATTTTAATCCGGCCCAGCCCTGGTTTTACAGCCACCTGAGGACTGAATCCGCCCATCCCACTCCATCACACACCTGTGTGTCTCCGTTGACCTGCCTTCCGAATAAATAAATAGATCCTTTAAATCCTTAAACACGCACACAGAGCCAGGCACTGTGTGTGCTCGCTCTGCCTGCCCTGGGAACACAGGTCCACATCAGGGTCACACTACAGAAATCGGAAAACACTCCAACCACCCATATCACTCTGCCTGCTTCTGGGAGGGGGTGGTTCACAGCAACCATCACCTCTGCACACACAAACAAACACACAAGTGAGGGGTGCTCCAACAGTCCATGGACACATTGCCCGCCTTTTAATTCCACTTTCCATTAACTTCCTTGGGTTTCTGTGTGTGTCTCATGACAGTGTTAGAAAGTTCAGCATCATATTATCAAGATACTGTTTAACACTTCGATGGAGTGATGCACTTGTGACTACTGTTGAAGAACCGTATTATTATAATAGCACAGGGGAAATAGTGGGGGTGGCAGAGTAGAAGGAAAAATCCCTGAGCCTGTGGAGCTGTATCATGAAAAATAAATAATAAAAATATTAAAGCACAACTCTCGTCATTTCATAGCGTTTGAGGGGTTGGTGAAACCATGCACACACACTCGCTGTTTTCACAGTGTAAGTTTAAACAATTGTAATTCACAACAGTCACATAACTAGACAAAACCATTGCTCACTTGGAGGCACACATTGTGCAAGTTTTTTCCAAGTCAATTCATAATGTGTGTAAATCGACTTAAACATCCTTGTTTTAGACCTAATGATGATATTTGTGAAATAGCTGAAGCATACACAATGTAAACAGACCATCCACAGAGAAAGTTGCCCAAAGTGATTATTCATCAAAAAGGAAATAAATGGAAACATCTAGAATGCCTAATACAGGATGATATTGAATAAACAACATTTTGGGAGATTTTTCAGTTATTAGAGAAGGCCAGTAACTTGTATGCAAAGAAGAAAGCATAAAATTACCGATGAGCAGTGACTACAGAAACAGTATAAACCAATTATCATAAAATGCCAGTTCATTAGGGAAATTAACTCATTAGAGTGACCAACCATATTCTCATTGTCGCCTACAGTGAAGTATTTTTTCAATTTTTGTATATATCTGTTGCTTATCCCATTTCTTTAATTTTGTTTCTCAAATTGCAACAGTGTAGCAACGTTTGTGAGTCTAACTTTTTAAAGGTGTGTTTATTTGTACATCAGAGTTACAGCGAGATCTTCCATGTGTTGATTCATTCTGCAAGTGGCCACAGCGGCCAGGACTGAGCTCAGCTGGAGCCTGGAGCTTCGTCTAAGTTGTCCTCTGGCGGCAGGTGCTCAGACCCTGGCCAGCCCCTGCTGCTCTCACAGGCCAGTAGAGGGCTGGACCACAAGTGGAGCATCCAGGACTCAACTGACAGGTGACAGCTTTTTACTGCTTCACCATAGTGGTGGCACCACTCATAATGTGTTATTTCCTAGTTGTTTTTTTTTTTTTCAGAAGAAATACCTCATCTCTTTATAGTTGAAATTTGTATCTTTACCATTTATTTCTATCTGAAGTTTATTCTGAAATGTCTTTGCAGTTAATTTCTTGTTCACAGCAATTCATTTTTAATGGAGTTTAATTTCTTATGGTTTTATTTTGCCTTTGAAATTGTTGGTGTTTTGTGCATAGTTCATTCTTTCAGTCATAGTTCTTACTATATTGCTTGACACTGTTACTTCAATCTGGCTGTCTTTTCATTGAGAGCTGTATCTTTCTAAAAGTGTCATGTTTTGTGTTGTAGATACAACATATCATTTAAGCTGATTTCAGCTCTGACTTAGGGCACATGTTTCTGATTTTAAGGACTGGAGAAGTGTCTATAAATGCAGAAGCTGCTCTCACTCGGAATGAAGCTTGCTTTCCTCGGCACGTTCTGTTAGGTGGCAGTTCTTCCTTCTAAGCTGATGGCAGAATACACACGACAACACCTACAAGACAGACTCCACCAAGCTCGTGTCCTCCTCACTTCTGTTTAGTGGTTGACGGATACGCAGTGTTTCATTTGCTTGAAACACTCAAGGGAGTAAGTTGGACAATGTATCTTTGGAGAACCCCTGAATCATTCATAAACTCGCCCGAGGCTTTTTTGTGTCACCATTTTACCTTTGGCCCGGTCTCTGGAGGTGCACACACGGCTGAGCATCCTGCTGCAAACGGGGTCATAGATTCTGTCACTAAACGCTAATGTGCTTGACAACCACCTCACCGGGTTCTCTGTATTTTTCCCTTTGCACATGCTTTTTCTTCCCTCCTGTGTATTATAATGAAAACGCAGAGCAAAATTATGATTGTAGAACAAACTATTCCCTGTAATTACATGTCTTTTAAAATATGAGTTTAACATTGATGAAATTCAATATATTTGGAGAATGGAGGAGCTGAGGAAGGAGGAGAAAATTGAATGAGGAATTATGGAATTAAGAGTGTGGCCAAATATAAGAATATACTTATTATTATTAAATTGTATCTGAATATCCCATTACTTTAAATTTGGAAGCAAATATACAATTATGAGCATTAATGTGAGTTGTGTTTGGATTTTTTAAGATTTAGTCATTTTTTTTAACTGGAAAGCTTGATCAAATTTATGGAGAGGAGAGAAAGAGAGAAAGATCTTAACACCCACTGGTTCACTCCCCAAGTGGCCACAACAACTGGAGCTGAGCCAACCAGAAGCCAGAAGTCAGGAGCTTCTTCCAGTTCTCCCACATGGGTGCAGAATCCCAAGGTTTTGGGCCGTCCTCCACTGCTTTCCCAGGCCACAAGCAGGGAGCTGGATGGGAAGTGGAGCAACTGGGACATGAATAGTGCCCATTTTGTATCCTGGCACTTGCAAAGCGAGGATTTAGCCATTGAACCTGGCGCTGGGCCCTTGTGTTTGGATTTTATATTTCAAATTTAAGGTGTAAAATTGCATGATTAACACCTTGTGCTTAAGAAATACTTTCTTCTTTATTAATGCCAGAAGCAGCTACTTTTTGGTTAGACTTTATGAATTATCTATAAAAATACTAAAAGAGTTGTTTTAGTATATGATGCCTTTACTTAAATTTTAAGACTTTTAACAGAAAATGTAACTGAATGTCAAACATCAGTTTTTTAAGGCAAGCTTGTCCATTTGATTCCATTAGGGAAATAACAATCCTGGGGACCCAGGCCTCACCAGCAGGCAGCTCTGAAGCACCCTGGCCTCTCCCACCGCAAACGAGCCAGTGTCAGGGGGAGGGGGCTCGGCCACTCTCCAGTTCCAAGTGACACATGAGGGGTCTTCAAACTGCCGCAAAAAGAGCGTATTACAAAAAAAAAAAAACAGCATGGACTCAAAACATTATTTTGCACCAAATAAGCTTGGCTTTTAACTCCCTTCTTCTGTGAGTTTTTTGAATCATTTTTATCATGGAAAAAGAGTTATATATTAGTTCATAGCTGATATATATATATAGAGCTTAGCCAGTTTGTATATACAGGCAGATATATAAATGCTAACGTACATGTGAATGTGTGGAAATGCTGGTACCCAACAGTATCATTGCATGTTATGTGAAATCTATTATGAAACAGTTAATTTGTCCCTCAGAGTGAGAAGGATGGTGCATCAGAAAAGCTGTAGATTTCAGAATAAGCAGAATTTACCAGCTGGGCCGCTGTCCTAGGTAGCAGAGTGGCCACATGGAGCGTGATGGTGCAGGAAGAGTGAGGGCCTCTGGGGGAGGGCACAGCATCTTGGAATCTAGGGGCAGCATGTTTGGGGAGAACAAGGCAGCACTGTTCCATGAGGACTCGGCTCCTGGCAGACCCTCAGATCGTGGAGTAACCTGGGGCTCAAAGCATCACAGGGGTACCCAGCACCAAAGGCACAACTCACAACTTTCCTGACCTGAAAGCCTGTCCTCTGACCATGGCCCTCAGGGCCCCTTTCACATCCTTGTTCCTCAGAGTGTAGATGATGGGGTTCAGCAGCGGAGTGACGATGGTGTAGAAGAGAGAGACAAACTTCCCCTGGTCCTTGGAGCTGCTTCTGGCTGGTTGCAGGTACATGAAGATGATGGTCCCATAGAAAATGACGACCACCAGCAGGTGGGAGGAGCAGGTCCCGAAGGCTTTCCTGCGCCCGGCGGCCGACTTGATCCTCAGCACGGCCCGGGCTATGAAGCCGTAGGAGACCAGGATGAGTGACACAGGGATGACCAGGAACACCACGCTGGCCACGAAGAGCTCTGCCTCGTTGAATGTGGTGTCCACGCAGGCCAGCTTGATGAGCACCGGCACCTCACAGAAGATGTGGTCCAGCTGGCGATGACCGCAGAGGGGCAGTTGCACGGTGAGGGAGCACTGGATGAGGGAGGTGACGAGGCCGCTGAGCCACGCTGTGCCGGCCAGGGCCACGCAGAGCCTCGGGTGCATGATGGTGGTGTAGTGCAGTGGCCGGCAGACTGCAGCATAGCGGTCGAACGCCATGACCGCCAGCAGAATGCACTCACAGGACCCCAACCCCATAGCCACGTAGAGCTGGGCCACACACCCGCCGTAACTCATGTTCTTGATTTTCTTCCTCATCGTGACCAGCAGCTGGGGGGCCACGCTGGTGGTGAAGCAGATGTCCACGCAGGACAGGTTGCTGAGGAAGAAATACATCGGCGTGTGGAGTCTGGCATCCACACAGGACACCAGGATGATGGCCGCATTGCCCAGAAGGTTCAAGATGTAAAAGTGCAAAATGATGATGAACAGGCATCCTTCGAGCCGGGGCTGATCTGAGAAGCCCAGCAGCAGGAAGCCCTCCTCGGAGCTGCCGTTGGCTGCCTCCATTGTCCTGCAGCTGAGTTCATGAAAGGACGGTGCCCCAGGGACGCAGGCCGCCAGCTGGACGCAGGCAGTGCTCAGTCATGGTTAGCTCTTTATACATCGCCGTGGCCATGGTGCAGGACCTGCAGAGCTTCAACACACACAGGACAGACGTGTCGCCTCCTCAATGTCCCTTCAAAAGACAACACACAAACACAAAACAAGCGCTTTATCTCATCCTTTAATAAACAATATAAATATGATATCATTGAGTTAGGACACTAACAAAACTCAAAAAGTACAGGTTAGAAACGAAGAGGCAATCCAGCACCCCACTAATACACCCAAGAAAGCAAAGAGGAAGGCCGGACACTCGGGCCCTGCCACGTGTGACAGACCAGGGCGAAGACCCTGGCTCCAGCTTGGCCTGACCCACGACAGTCATTGTGGAGTGAGCCAGTGGGTGGGAGGCCTCTCTCTCTCTCTGTAATGCTTTCAAATAATCAAAATAAATCTTTAAAATAAAAAAGAAAGAAGAGAGAAAACGGGACCGAGATTCATTAGAAGTAATGCAGACAAGGAAGACAGAGATGAAGAAGTGAGTTCAGGCACAAGTGGCTCCTCAGAAACCGCCAGGCAACATCAAGAAACTTCCCTAATGCTGAACTGGTGAGCACGGCTCTGCCAGCTACCGGGAGGTGGCATTGATGGCTCTGCCAGCCACGGGGAGGCGGCATTGACCAGTGCTGCCAACAAAGGAGGAACCGCTGGAGCTGAGGACAGCGATACCAACTTGAGGGGCCCTGGCCACAGGGGACGGGATGAGCACACAGGTGCACCTGGGGAGGATTTTAGGTACTTGGGGAGCACCATAGCAGCACAGCCCTGCAGGCACCCAGTGTGCTGGAGGGAATGCCAAGACACAGGGCGTAAACAAGGCATAAGCCCAGAACACCAAGTGCTGCTGCCGGAGCGCCAAGCTGGAGCAGCCTGGAGCATTGAGGCCAGTGCAGGACTAAGAATGCAAGTCAGACCTGCAGGTAAGAGCGGCTGATCCGGCCAAGAGGGGCAGCAGTCAGACAGAACACGGCTCGCGCATGCGGGTTAATCAGGGCGGGGGGGTGGAGGGGAGAGAGTCTGAAGACATGAAAGATAAAAATCAACCCAATTGTCATGTTTCTGTGTGCACGTGGCCATGAAATAAAGTTATAAGCCACCTCGTGAAGTGTGAGCCATCCTCAAAGACACAGCAATAAACTGGGGCCAACATGGCAATGGAAATGGGATGACAGAGATGAGGAGAGGAGAGGAGAGGAGAGGAGAGGAGAGGAGAGGAGAGGAGAGGAGAGGAGAGGAGAGGAGAGGAGAGGAGAGGAGAGGAGAGGGGAGGGAAGGGGAGGGGAGTTGGCACAGCTCAGCAATGCCCTTTCCTCCTCCTGCAGTGGGCACAGCCCAGCAGTGCCCTTCCCTCCTCACTCAGCGGGCACAGCCCAGCAGTGCCCTTCCCTCCTCACACAGCGGGCACAGCTCAGCAGTGCCTAGCACAGATTTTACAGTATTGGTACCTCTTTCCACAATAGAACACAACATGTATGACAATGCATTTTGATTATTTATGATAATGTATTTGATTATTTATGCCCTGAGCCTCCTAAAGACCTAACTCAGTGGCAGCCCCAAAACAGGAGCCCAAAGTATTCCCTGAGAGAATACCTCAGGACATTTTGAGCAGAAATAATTGAGTCAAGCCAGCTCACTAAAGACTCAGAACATCTAACTGCCAGAAAGACAAGAAGGGGCCCCTGTGTTAATAATTTGAAATATGGGAGGATGTTTGGCCCAGTAGTTAGGTCTCCACTTGGGATGTCTGCACCCCACATCAGTGAGCTTGGGGTCAAGTCCCAGCCCCCTGCTCATGCCTGCTCTGGGAGAGGCAGCTGGGGCGGCCAGCTTGTGTCTGTGCCACCAGCTGAGAGTCCCAACTTTGGAGATGTTCAGAGAGCAGTTTTACAGGATATATGTTTTGTAACCCTCTGAATTATTTTTAAGGTGACTGAAAACCACTCCCATACTATCTTTCTATCTCCCATCCACCCTCAGTCTTCTCTGTTCCTCTCGCTCTCAAACACACACACTGTTATGTTTGGCTCTAATCCATCAGCAAGCTCACATCCACCAAGCTGCTGTTCCTCGCAAAAGAACAGAACCAGGGGTGGACACTGGGTACGGAGGAGAGGACTCCACTTGGGACCCCAGTATCAGAGTGTTCAGGTGGCAGCTCCAGCTCAGCTGCCAATCCCGGTTTCCCACTACTGCTCACCCCGGGAGGCAGCAGGTGGCAGCACCCGTATCTGGACCCCTGCTACCCTCGTGGGGAGACCAAAGCTGAGTTCCAAGCTCCTGACTTCTCTTTGGTCCAGCCCAGCTGTGAGGCATCTGAGAGTGAATCCGTGGACGGGAAATCTTTCTCCTTCTCCCTCTCTGTCTGGCTCTGTATTTCAAATAAAATAAGTGAAAAAAAAATTAAAACAGAGCAAAAACATGGATATTTCTACATGAGAATTTGCCTACTCCAAATGCTAGCCACCCACACATCTGTTAGCACACCTGCTGCTGGGGAGGAAGCCAGCTTCTTCCAGGTTTGTCTTCCGGTTCCACTCCTCTGTGCTCCCAATGAGAAATCCCAGATCATAGCAAAAATAGAAAACATAAGAAAAGCATAAAAATCCTAGTTAGGAGAGGAAGGGGAACAGAGAGCCCCTTACCAGCCTGCAAGGGGTGGGGTGCATGGCTCACTCCTTCTGTGATGGTGCATGCTTAGGTCAGGGAAGCAGCACCCACACAGTGACCATGCACCTAGCCTGACATCCCGAGTGCTTCTGAGAGCGAATGGAGGAGGACAAAGGCTCCTCCCAAGGACAAAGGGCGCAGATGTAGGGTACGGCGTGTTTATCCTGGCAGCTCCACAAGGACCACAATCCCAGTTCACCAATTACATCTGGAGAGAACCCGAGGAGATTATGGTCCTGGGATCTCTGCTGGGGAATAAGCCTGACCCTGCGTGGCCCGAAGGCTCACAGCAGAAGGGTGAAGCACAGAGGCCCACAGGTGAGCTCGGAAACCTGGATTCTCCGTTTCAAAAAGACATATATCATAAGACACATATCACAGTGTCAGAGACACATCAGTTATGGGAGACGGGAATTTAAAACAGACATATTAAGCACATAAATATCATAAGGAAATGAATTAAAAGTTAAAAAAAGAATAATGTTCAGAAGAAAAAGTGCTCAGGTGAATAAAATATCACATTGTTCATATTTTTTAAAGGAGATAATTTCAGCCAAGACTATGATATAATTTAGCTATTTTCTCTAAGTAAATGAAGAGATTTTAAGTTTTTAAGATGCAAACACATCTGTGGAATTTCTATGTGTTCATCACTGTTTTTAGGAAGATTGTACATAAACACTCAAAGACTTCAAGTCGATGGGGAATCGAGGGGTCGTGTGCTGTGACTCCCACACGTCCAGATCTCAGGCCTGAGGTCTCCGTCTTGCATTTGAAGCTTTGACAGTTACAATGGATCCTACTGAGCATCCCAGAGCCTGTCCCATGGTTCCGTGATCCGATCTCTGTGTTTCTATCAGAGTCCCAAACAGGCAGAAAGTGACATGGCAAGCATAAGGCACCAATGAGCGATGCAGCTGTGACAGAAACCATCGGAATGACACCTTCATGACGTGAAACAAAATCAGATTTTTTTTTAGATTCATTAATTTTTGTTGAAGAGTCAGATTTACAGAGAGAAGGAAAGACAGAAAGAGTTTCTACTGGTTCATTTAGCCAATCTGAAGCTAGGAGCCAGGAGCTTCTTCTGAGTCTCCCACGTGGATGCAGGGTCCTAAGGCTTTGGGCCATCCTCAATTACTTTCCCAAGCCACAGGCAGGGAGCTGGGAGGAAAGTGGAGCAGCCAGAGTATGAACCAGCACCCATAGGAGATCTTGGTGCATGCACAGCCAGCATTTTAGCCACTAGGCTACCATGCCAGGCCCCAGAATTTTCTTATTCAAGAATTTTATCCAAACTATGTTTTCTCCTTATCTTCAAATTTTTGTTTCCAAATATGAATGCTTTAATTCACATAATCTGGGTTGGGTAATAATGCCTAAAAGTATTTGGCCAAGGTTTTTAATTGATAATGGGGATTCTTCAAAACATTAGTGGAAATCTTATGTTAAAAATCTATGTACCAATTTCAAAAATAATTACACCAAAATAGCTTAATTTCACTTTCCAAATATGCCTCGCCACGCCCTCGTGTTCATTAATTACAGGGCCTTTGCTCCAGGACGAGGCTGGGGGTCAGGGAGATGGGGACTGGGCAGTGGTCCACTTCTGGGTGCTGTGCATGCAGCACATTTAGACGTTTCCCTTTAGGTTTTTGCTGAGCTATTTCTGTAATCATGCAGCGTGGGACTAAAGGTAGCTGACCTGTTAGGAGCTGTGCAGTGTGGGTGGACGACACAAAGGTATAAAGAGAACAGCTCTCCTGTTGGCAAGGCCACAAGGAGCTTCTAGTTGTACGGCAAGGCCTGGCAAATGTCTCGACGCAGTTTCACTCTCTTTGCATGGACACTCAATCACCCCATTAAAGACTTCTGAAATGCATTGAGGCGTTGTTGTTTGCCCTTGTGAGATGGTTTTTGCAACTGATGTTAGCTTGGGAGTTAAAGCTACTGACAAAGTCTTGGTGAACGTGCCTTTAACAAATCATGAGAATTAATACACACAACAGTGCAACATAGCCCATGCCATTCCTGCACAGCTCATTGTATACCTAACTATTGCCCCAGAAACTGGCCCAGACACGCAGTGTGTCTTCTGGGAAATGGCTTGAAAGCACCCTAAAAATTGATGAAAAAGGCGGGAGTACAAGCCAAAACTGCTATGGCGATAAATACAGTTATTGTGACTTTTAAGGACTAGCCTCTCTGCAATCTCTTTGGAGCAGAGAAAATGT